TCCCCCTGCCTCAGGCCAGCTCACCCAGTTTTAATGTCCAGCACAATACCACATGAAATGGAACGTCCCTTTGGCCAGTCTGTGACAGTTGTCCTGGTTCTGTCCCATCCCAGCTCTTACCCCTCAGCCCCCTCACTGGCAGGGCAGCATGAGAAGCTGAAACACCTGTGACTGTGCAAGCATTGCTCAGCGACAACCAAAGCATTGGTGTGTTGTTAGCATTATTCTAAACACGAACCAATTCATCATGATTCATCTTATCTAATATTTCAGTGCCTGAAGAATGAACACTTGTGTCAAAGACCTACAATGTGCACTTGAGGACAGAACTATTCTGATCTGTTTCACATATGTTCCTTAGCCTGAGACAAAGCATAAAAGAGAAAAATATTTCTCTCCACTTGATTATGCAGCACGGATGATGAGTTCAGAAAGGCACATCTTCATTAGGTCAAGTAATCCCAACCTTTGGAAAGGTACTGTTATTTAGACTAACCATTGAAGGACTTTTTTTTTCTGTTTGGAGATTAAGCATCCATCCATTTCTCAATGATAAGCATGAGATTTAGACATAGAAAACTGAGATGCAGGATGGAATTTAGCCCTAGGTGGAAGGCAAGCACTACTCCTCAACTATATATGCTACATTTGTTCATGTAGTACACACAAAAGATCTACCTTTCAACAGGGTACAAGCAATGTGTTACTGTAGTTTCTCATAATGCATTTGATTTTGGCCATGTTCTTTGTGCCAATGGAGTAGAGATTGGCCTTTTCTCTTGGTTGACAGGAATAGACAAAAGGTAATGCTTTCAGGTTGTGCCAGGGGAGGTTCAGGTTGGATATTGGGAAAGACTTCTTTCCCAAAAGAATGGTCAGGCAGTGGAGCAGGTTGTTCATGGAGGTGGTGGTCATTGTGTTCAAAAAATATGGAAATGTGGCACTGAGGATCATGGTTAGTGAGCGTGGTGGGGATGCGTTGATGGTTGGACTAGATGATCTTAGAGGTCTTTGAGCAACCTGGTCTAGAGGGAGATGTCCCTGCCTATAGTAAGGGGGTTGGAACTAGATGATCTTAAAAGTCCCTTCCAACTAAAACCATTCTATGATTCTATGATTCTAATACTCTTAAATCTCAGAAGCAAAACTCAGAGGAAAATTGTCCATTTAAGTAAATTTGGTCTTACTTGACCACTCTTCCCTCTACTCATCGCACATCAAAAGTAATCATATTTTTTCTGTTTTATACTTCACCATCAAAATCAACATCCACATTTGGCAGGTCCATGTCAGGAGCTCTCCGGCATCTCTCTGAATCCAGATCTGCAATAACCGAGTCAAAGAATGCTATAGCTTCTCTTACATCTGAACTGGGCTGTGGGACTTTTCTTCTCTCCATGGATGTCTGTTGATAAGATAGGGAAAGAAAAGAAGTTAGATGCAGTTGGAAAAAAAATGTCTTAATGAGAAAACTGTATAAGGAAGCTGCAAAAATTCTATTTGATTCCATATTTCAAGATTTCAGAAAGGCTCAGAAGTCCAGATTACTCCACATCAGCCAATGAAGAAGGCAGAACATCAGTGCAAGTGTCCTTCTTGTTGCATGCTCAACGTCAGACATCTTCCACTTCAGCACTGCCAACATGTCTTTATAAAATCTCTCAGAATCCCTCTACTGAGCCATGTAATTGGGTGGCTAGGTGACAGCTGATCTGTGGCCAAATTCATCCTGTCTAGTATTAGGCACCTAACGGGATGCACACATTAGAAATGGAGTCATACAAGGTTACTTCTTTAATTAATGCAGGGCTCAAGTACCTTCAAGAGATGAGTCAGAATCTAGGTAGGCTGAATTCCCCTCTTCAGTCAGCTCCAGTCCCTTACTGCTGAGGGATCATGGAGCAACTTGGTTACTAATTTAAGCATCTTATTAAAATGCCTTGGTTTGATGAAATGAATCCAGATCTAAATTGCTAAAGTCTTTTTTTTTAAATGGAAAAGGACTATGAGTGCTAAAAAATGAGTCATTCAACACTATGATGATTCCCACAGGAAAGCCATGAGGTTTAAAATTAGGAGCCTGTCTTGTTAAAAAAAGCAAATGTCTGTCTATAGATGCTGAAGCATTCATAAAGCCTCAGTTAGCAATTCTGTAGGTCAGTACAGGGTGAACCCTTCTGCCATTCATGAAGGTTCTGCCTAATGAAGGGCCGTGTATTTTCCCTGCCAGTCCAATTGCCAGAGCAATTCTGAATCAGAAACTTATTGTCCTGGGTTTCAAATGCACAAGCAAAAGATATATGCTGTGTCACATCTCTGAAGAACGAGTTTGCTTCCCATTCTGTGGGATGGTGCAGGCAGAAATGAGTTGGTTTCTCCTTCTGAACTTTATAGGTTGATTGATTGACATCTTTAGAAGTGCTAAAGGATAACTACTACCCCACACTGACTGAGAATAGTCACTGCCATTATACCCAAGACTTCATTACTTAAAAGACATTTTTTTAAAGTGTGTGCTACAAAATCTGACACACTTCTCTATTCTTTTCTTTCACAAGTCTCAGGTGACATATTTTGAATCAAGAGACAGCCTGTAGTCCAGGCTTTGGGTTTTGCATCTGAATTAAATTAAACTTTCCCTGAAGACAAGGTTGTCTGGGCAAAGCACATTCCTATTAATTGTGCAGCATGTATGGGGAAAAAAAAAGGTGGATTCAATTGGCAGGAAATTTAATACAAAGAGTTAGTTAGGGACAGAACTATTCAAGCTTGTTGGTAAAATGAATCTTGCAGTCTGTGAACATAAAACTTGGAGTTAGGAAGTGGAGTGTATCGTATGTTGTAGAAGTCTTCTTGGCCTCTTCCTAATTTTTGCAAAGTCAGAGCTGTGCAGCTGTGACCCCAACTATTTGTGTCAGCAAGAATGACTTGCTGGGCAGCATGTCCTCCTGATGTTCCAAAGGGGAATGTTGTGGAGTTAGCATGTCAGCCAGTATCAGGCCTGGGGATGCATAAGAAATAACTGGCCACAGAGAGATGACAGCATTCATAGCCTCAGAATGTGGGAGATTCACTTGTTCACCAAACTCAAGTTAAATTGCTGATTTTTTTTTCCAGTGGCACTTTCAATGACAAATATCAGAGAGTCAGAATTCTACATGAATCATAATTGTATACAATCTATCTCACAGACTCCTGGTCTATGGTTTAAATGTTCTTCTGCACTCATATTTCTCCTCTGCCTAGTGGTTAGACATGCTTCATGCTCCATTACATCACTGCTCTGCTCATCAGGGGAGCAGACATGCTATAACTCTCTCCTGCATGAAGCCAGTCTTTGTGCATGAAAAACTGGTTCACAGGTTATGTATCTTGTAGTGCTGAGATTCATCTCTCCCTTGGCATCACCATACCACTCTCCTATAACTCAGTTATTCTCTTTGCATGTTTCCCTAGTCCTAAATGGTAAACTCTTTATAAAATCTGTCTTCTCCAGCCCACTGAACTGAGTACTGTTTCTTGCTCAAAGCATTAAAAAAGTGACATAAAGACCAAATAATCAACTGAGGGATTCCCACTGACAGAATGGGTTCTAGATCAGGATGTAGAATGAAAAAATGTGGTATCTAACTCTAAAAATATGAATCTTGTCCTTTGGTTAAGCAATGTATGCAGCAGAACTCAGCCTCAGCCATACTGACATTATGCTGTGAGAGAGCATATAAATGTGGAATAATTTTCTGTTAAAGTCTACCAGGCCTAGTCAGTAGGTAATCCATTATATCCTTTCTTCCCACCATTCTTATTAGTATCCAGTTTAAAGGCTGCACTGGGTAACCTGCATGTCTGCTGCCAAAGCCATGTTTGTGGTCTGGTTCCCTAAATAGATCACCCCACCTGCTGCAAATCAGTTCTTTTTCCTAACTAAATCAATCCCACAGTCAAACTACTGGACAGTCTAATGACATGCAACTTGTAAGGTGCAGCCCTACAGAAGGTTTGCATTGTTTTTCCCTCTAGGACTTATAGAAACAATCAGCAACAAAAAAATCAGTGCTATTCTTCATTATCACTGTAGTAAAGGACAAAGAACTACAGTGTCTGCTTCAAAACTATTTGACAGTTCATTAATAAACAGAGAAAGGAACCCCTACCAATTCTCCATTGCCTACAATGTATCAGTAGTTTGCACAGATGATGAACATAGCACTGACAAGCTGTCTGATCAGTCAAAGAAAATCACAGCTGTTTCTTAGAAAACAGAATTGTTTTCAGTAAGTTTTGCCAGTGAGAAGGATACCAATAAACACAGGGACTACTGTGCTTTTCAGTCATTAACAGCTATAAATAACCACAGTGGAGAACTGTGAGCCACTTAAGTAGCCAGTCAGAATTGAGAGAAAACATCTCTTTCATAGCAAGTTTTCAAGTACTTCCCATTTGCTCATAGTTCTTCTCTTATTTTCTCTCCACACTTCTACAAACACACATAATTCTTTCCTTGACCAGTCATTCATATTTGACTTCACACAAATCTGGAAATATCTTAAGGTATTTAGTAGCATTTCAGATGGAGTAACAACAGCAACAAAAAAGACAAACAGCTGAAACCAGTAAGGCAGAAAATCAACATAGGTCATACATACAATCGCTTCATGGATTAAGACTAATCATACAATAAAAGTTCTTAGGAATTACCTTAGAAAACTCTTTGGAGGAAAGTGGAAGAAATGACTTCTTTCCAGTTTTGGATGATTTTGTGGATGTTGGGGAATCTGCAGTCATATGCATGGATTTCAACTTATTGATGTTGTCAAAGTATTTTTTCCTCAAGGCTAAGTCCTGTAAGTATTTCAAGCAGTCCTGAGTCTTAGAGTACATCCACTCTCTGTCTTCCTCTTTTGACTGGCTGCAGGAGTCAATGCTGTTTGTACTTTTGCATTTTTTTAATGGTTCACTCACTTTTTCCTGCTCATCTCCAAGGACATACATAGAGGTGCTGCGGATCAGCCTGACAGCAGAACCTGTGCCATCCCAGTAAGGAATGTCATCTGTTGCATTTCTTCGGTGGGAGTTGGGGTGAAATATGGAATGGATCTTTTTAAACATACTGTGTTTCTTTGACCCTGTTACACTTTTCTCCTTTAGCTTCTTAATTTAACCCTAAATCTACAGCTGCGACCCTTGTCCTCATCTGACAAAGAGATTTGCCACTTACTATAATGAAGACAAAAAACATCTATTACTGCTTCCGTTGCCTGCAGTCCAACACATTGTGAAGAGCGTGATCATAGAGCAGAAGCCTGTTTTCTATTCCATTTGCATCAGTGAAGTAGCTCTGTTCTTTCCTCGGATTAAAACACAGCGCAGGAGGTCAAAGGTCATGCTTTGACCTTTCGTGTGACTGGTCTCCATAAAAGCACGTAATCACCGAGCTGGAAATCCCGTCCTCGACGTTTCTCGGTCCCCCGCGAGTCGCCGCTGCCGCCTCCTTCACCGCCGAGCTCCGCGGGCGGGCGGGTGCCCGGTGCTGGCCATGGTGCTGAAGTGCTTCTGCCGCCCTGACAGCATCCCGGAGCTCCGCGGGTGGCTTCTTCGGGATTGCTTCTCGGGATCAGCCTCTGCAGGGGCAAAGTGCAGAGGGATGGTTTCTAACGGGCAGAATTTAGATATCGCTCCGAGTTTCACCCTGTGGTAATCAGGAGATGGCTACAGCTACCCGATACCGCAGCACTACTGGGAACAAAGTGGATTCAGATGTCAGGGTCTGTTACGCTCAGTACAAAGCTGCTCTATGTAAGAGATGCTGTAAAATAAAACACTTCTAAAATAATATTTTGTGGTTTTGTTTTGTTTTAAAAAAGCAGGCAGAAACAAATGCGTTTCTACTAGCTCTTTTCCTAGACAAATGGAAGAGCATTCTAATGTAGTGTTTTTGTTGACTGGAAGCTACAGACAACATTGGCTGCTATCAGCATATTCAAGCATCAGTATCATTTGTGACTGTGTAACAGCATGATGAATGTTTCAAAGAGAAGTAGAGAGTGAATATGCCCACTTCACACCACCAAACCAATCAGCTCTTTGAAAAAAGCAGGAATGTCCAGATTTAACATATTCAGAACAATTTTCATAGCTCATTCTGCTCAAGCTTTCGATATTTGAGGAAATTTTGAAAGGCCACAGATATCATCCTGCAGACTCTATTAAACAAACTTCCACTAATTATACTGGAAGTGTCAAATAAAGGTTTATGCAACCTAAAAGTCAGAGGATCTCAAAAGATTCTAATAAGAATTTGCCACAGCTAGGTAATAAAGTTGATTTTATGCTAGTGTGGACAATTAGAACTATGAAAAGAGATTAAATATCTCTGTAAAATTACCTCTGAAATTTTCTCCATCAGAGAAATATCTGGTCATCAATAACAGCTTGATTTTCTACATGGTCTTCTGATCTTTGGTTATAAATAAGATACAACACCGAGACACTTGAAGTAGATACTCTAAGTAACCTTGAAGTCACTTCACCTGAAAAGTCTATGAGTCAAGAAAATCATTGGGAGCTCAAAGAATTACTGACAAAGACACTAATCAGTAAGAGTGAAGGGAACTCCACAGAGCAACTGCTTATAGGATCAGACATTGTCTTGCCATAGCAGACTGACCTCTAAGCTCAATCAATCTTATGAAGAGCTGTAGGTCAAATTCACAGACACGCACATAGAAACAAAAAACAAACAAAAAAATCCACCAGGCTTCTGTTAGTGAAAATAAAAAATTAAGAGCATCGTACACCATGAAGAGTAAATGCAATGATGCATGCTGCTTTCTGGGGGAAAATAATCATCATCATCATCATCATCATCATCATCATCATCATCATCATTATCATCATCATCATCATCCATATGGGCCTTAGATACTCCTGTCCTGTTTCAACAAAGTGTTTAAAGCATATGCTGACATCTCACTGATATTAAAAAAAAAAAAAAAATTAAATAAAAATAACTAAAAAAATCTTCTATGCCTTTAAGAGGCTTCTCACTTTTAAGTGTGTCCATTCCCAATTTTTTAAAGTGCTTGTTGGTTCACATTCACTGAGCATCAACTTACATGTAGTTCTCATTGTTCACTGTGGTGTTAAAATAAGACTAATAAATGCATTAGTCAGTTAATAGCTATGTTATATTGTAGAATTTCATTTGATGTAATAAATGGACATCTATGATTATTTCAGACATTAATATTTTATTCTGTGTACTGGTTATGAGCAGTGGGAATACAATCTTCCTTTCCTATGATAAAAATTAATATCAATCTATTTTCTTCAGTGTCTCTACTGTAATTTAAATAGCTCTCCAGAATTAGAAAGTTAAAGAATAAAATTCTGGATATCTTTAAAGGTCAAAAATGTCTCTAGTGTCTTTTGCAAGAAGAATGCCCTACATCTTTTCTAGGTGATTTCCTATAGGGCATTTTTGTTCAAACATGTTTTCTGAATAGCTGTTATTTATTTAAAGTCAAACTCCAGTTTTCTTGTATCTGTAACTGCTCCAATTTAACTAAACAGCAGGGCAATTAGAATTTGACCTCCACAGATCACAGGTCTCTTCTCTTCTTACTGCTGGGGACCAAATATGTTACTGCATCTAAGCCAAGTGGTGATTAAAAAACATGGTTTTATTCCAGAATTATTTTTTATGCACACACACACACATACACAAGCAAAATAACAAAAAAGCAAGCAAGCAAACAAACAAACAAAAACACTTATCAGATGGATAGTATGGTCGAAGAAGAATATTTGCTCTCTCAATTCAAAGTACCAAATTCACAGGCAGCTATTAAATCATAAATAAAGACCTCCCAAAGAAGCTTGTGAGAAGCAGATCAAATAGACCACACTAAATATTTAACAGCATCTAAGATTACTAACTTTGACAAGACAATGCTCATACCTTATGTGTTCACTTGGCTACTTGATTTTTACTTCACTTGCTCTATAATTTCTAAGTGGCTTTTTTTTATTATTTTTTTTATTTTGTTATTTTTTTTTTCTGCTACTGTTTTCAGTACTTCTGTCTGGCTTTGTACCTAATGGGCTGTTCTGAGTTCCGCAGACCGCTACTCATTAGCACACAAATTGCCATGGTTATCTACACTCAACATACTAGCAATTCCTGAGCCGTCGTGACTGGGTAAGGAGATCCAACTAGAAAACACAGTATATGTATTTTGATATTAACTATACATAGTTAATATCAGATGCGTAGATAAATGCAATTAAAATACCTTGATCACATGAGTTCATGATTAATGGGTGGATTAAATTATAAAATCACACATCCTTAAGTTTTGTGGGGTTTTTTGTTTGTTTTGGGTTTTTTGCAAAGACTGAATTGTCAAAATGTAAAGCTCTGAAACCAAAGAAGGAAACTTTTGACAACCTGTAGATGAACCTTCCCACCAATATTCCATTATATTTTGTTGCTGTGCAGGAGATAGAAGCAGAGAGGCAGTCTGATAGAATGGAATCTGGCATGGAAGTGCATATGAAGAAAAGGTGTGGAATTGAATTCTTCCACGTGGAAAAAAAATGCACCTACTGACATTCATTGATGCTTATTGAATGTTTATAGAGACCAAATAGGTAAGAGCACAGTGAGAAGGTGGGTGATGCGTTTCAGCAGTGGATCATCTCCACTGGTGCAGCTATTTATGAGCGCAACATGCAGAGTCTTTTTCACTGTTGGCAAAAATGCATAGCTGATGGTGGCGAATGTTGAAAAATAGAGTTTTGTAGCTATGAATTAGCTCTATCAAATAGTGTCATTGTGCTCTTCATATCTGTTGCAGTTTCCATGGAAAAAAAAATCAGAGGCATTATTTTTAGAGTGACCTACGTATATTTTATTACATTTTTTTTTAAAGTGAAAACATCAGTCTAGCTTTTAAACAAACAAAATTTAAAAAATCAGTATAAGGCATACTAATGGATAGTTAATTTGTTGAGACTTGTGCTATTTCAGATGGCTCATAAATAAAGTGAAGTTGTCAATCTCTATTAAAATCTATTTATAAACATAAATTCACACAACACATATCTGTTCCTTCACTTCAATCCCCATCCTTTGCCAGCCATGTCATATGTTCCCTTGAAATTCTGTAAAAACACACACAAAAAAAATACACAGCCTCCTATGAATCTCCTATTTAAGAGAAATGTTAAAAATAAAGCAGGAATTCTGGAGACACAACTTAAAACTAAACAAAAATAAGTACGTTGCACGAAAAGTAATGCCTCCTATTTATTTCTGTGGAAACTGTGAAGGTAATGGTCTGGAATTCTGCCTCCTCAAAACTACTGTCAGCAAATACTCGATGCCTTTCCTCATTCAGGAAGTTCCCATAATGTGGGAAGTGAGGAGCAGTTCTGATAGCATGCATTTGAAAAAAAAAACTATTATTGATTCTCTGAGCCATGAAATTGGACAAATCAGTTCCCTAAGGATTTGTTATTTGAGTTGATTTTCAGGTAAATGCAGTGAAGTCCAGATGTATGGCCCACGTCATATTTAATGGTGATCTTCTTTTTTTAAGGATATGCCTGTTATGCTAAAGCAACAATGACCTGCAAAACCAGCTGAGTCAGAAAAGTCAGTGAATGAATAAACTTTTGTAAATCTGGAGCATCATCTTCCCAGCTAATCTAGATTTGAATATGTTACTTCCATTTGATTTAGATCTCGCATATTGTCCATAATTTTTCACTGCATGTGACATTTTCATTCACTGAATAGGTTTTATTGCAGCATAAGCACTGACAGTAAGTAACCAAAGGAGTTGACTACATTTCCATCAGGAATGGAAAGATAAAGAAATGCCATAGTTTATGTACATCTAAATGCTTAGAAAGTGATTGTGCAAATCAGGTATCGGTCTATTATTTTATTTCATTTTTATAATTTAGCATACCTTGGCTTTGCTCTTCTGAAATGGTAAGCATGCATCCTATGACAAAGCAGTAAAACTCACTCTAGAGAAATTCCCTTTGCCTATGTGTATATCTCTATAGCTGTTGCCTGGAAGCTTTATAAGAGAGTGAAATGTTACCACACTTA